GAGGACGAGGATGAGGATGAGGATGATGATGATGATGATGATGATGATGATGATGATGATGATGATGCTGATGATGATGATGATGATGATGATGATGATGATGATATGATGATGAGATGATGGATGATCATGATGATGATGAATGAGGATGATGATGATGAGATGAGGATGAGGGATGAGGTGAGTATGAGGATGAGGATGATGATGAGGATGAGGAGGAGATGATGATGATGATGAGGATGATGATTGATGATGATGATGATGTGATGATGATGATGATGAGGATGATGATGATGAGGAGCGGTAGAGGAGGAGGGGATGTAGGAGGAGGAGGAGGAGGAGGGAGGAGGGGGGGGGTGGGGGGGGGGGGGGGGGAAGGAGGATGAAGGAGGAGTAGGAAGGATGAGGAGGAGGAGGAGGAGGAGAGGAGGAGGAGGAGGAGGAGGGAAGGAGGAGGAGGAGGAGGAGGAGGAGGAGGAGGAGGAAGGCGGAGGTGAGTCGGAGGATGGAGAGGAGGAGGAGGAGGAGGGGAGGAGGAGGAGGAGGAGGAGGGTAGGGAGGAGGAGGAGGAGGAGGAAGATGAGGGAGGAGGAGGAGGAGAGAGGAGGAGGAGGAGGAGCAGGGGATGAGGAGGAGGAGGAGGAGAGGAGGAGGAGGAGGAGGAGGAGGAGGAGGAGGAGGAGGAGGAGGATGAGGATGGGAGGAGAGAGGAGGAGGAGGAGGAGGAAGGAGGCAGGAGGAGGAGGAGGAGGAGGAGGAGGAGGAGGGAGGAGGAGAGGAGGAGGAGGAGGAGGCGAGGAGGTTTAGGACAGGAGGAGGAGGAGGAGGAGGAGGAGGAAGGAGGAGGGGAGGGAGGAGGAGGAGGAGATGAGAGAGGAGGAGGAGGAGGAGGAGGAGAGGAGGAGGAGCAGGAGCAGGAGCAGGAGCAGGAGCAGGAGCAGGAGCAGGAGCAGGAGCAGGAGCAGGAGCAGGAGCAGGAGCAGGAGCAGGAGCAGGAGCAGCACCAGCAGGACGTCGGCGGCGAGGAGGCCCTCCCTCTCCGGCCGCGCCTCCCGGCAGGATTCCGCGTGAGCGGGCGGGGCCGCCGCCAGATGGTCGGGTGCTGCTCGGAGTGCTCCTGGGCCACCAAGGCCTCCAGAGCACCCCTCGCGAGGCCCAGAGGGCACCATGGGGCTCCCAAATTAGGGGAACAAAGGATGACATAGGCACGAAAACTCGGAGGTCCGCGCGGGTTTCTCGGATCGGCGCTGGACCCCCCCTGGCGGCGCCTCCAGCGCCGATCCGAGAAATCCTGCGCGGACCTCCGAGTCGTTATGCTCATGTCATCGCTTGTTCCTCTAAAAATGGAGCGGGACCTCCTGCTCATGTCATCGCTTGTTCCTCTAAAAATGGAGCGGGAGGTCGGGGGGGGCACCTCGGGCCAGGGGCACCCTCAGCAACCCCCGCAGGGGCGCCGCCCGCGTTCCGCAGCAACCTGCGTCGATGGGCGGCGCGGCCTCGGTGCGCGCGCGCGGTGCCGCGCCGGGGACCCCGCGCGCTCTGTGCGCGCGCGGCGTCCCCGCCCTCGCGCCCCTGTGCTCGTGCGAACCTGGAGATCCGGCGCTCCGACAAAAATCGGAGCTGCCGGCTCCAGGCCGTTTTCGGCCCCAGGGGGCCCTCGCCGGGCCTCGGGGTCGTCAAGAGACGACGCGGGACGGAAGACCTGCCCTGGGGAAGCGATCCAGACCTCCGGGGTCCACGCATCGAAGAAATCAGAGCAGCTGGATGTTTGGGGAGCCCTCTCCCGCTCGTGCTCGTCGTCCTCCGAGACTCCTCCGCTCAGCGGCTCTTGGAAGCGACGGGGCCGTTTTTTTGTTTTCCCGTTTTCGTCCAGATTTGTTGCTTCAATCCCAGAGCAGTTTTTCCGGTTTCGGCGAACCGTTTTTTTCTGAGTGTTTTTATTTTGCTTGTCTGTTTCATTCCCAAGATCAGGATGTTTGGAAATGGTAAACATCAGGCCCTGTCGCTTCCGAGGAACAATCAGCTCTTCCGTGAAGGCGAGCAGACGAGAAAACCCAAAATCATGAAAGAGCATTTGGCTGTAGAGTAATTTTGGTATCTCGGGTGCCTTCTGGAGGTCTCGTGAAGATGTCTTGGACCGTCTTGGGCCCTCTTGGGACTATCCTGGGGCCTCTTGGGACTGTTTCGGGCCCCTTTCGGCGCCCGCCACCCTGATCGCCGTTCTTCGGCTGCTCGTGGGCCTTTGAATGTTCGCTGGGGGCCGTCGTGGGGCTATCTCGGGGGTCCTGAGGGCCGCGCCAAGGAGTGGTAGTAGTCGTAGTCGTAGTCGTAGTCGTAGTGGTAGTCGTAGTCGTAGTCGTAGTCGTAGTAGTAGTACTAGTAGTACGAGTAGTAGTAGTAGTAGTAGTAGTAGTAGTAGTAGTAGTAGTCGTAGTCGTAGTCGTAGTCGTAGTCGTAGTCGTAGTAGTAGTAGTAGTAGTAGTAGTAGTAGTAGTCGTAG